ATCTAGTCTCTCATCTAGAAAACATAGGTCACATGGACATCTACCAATCACATCTATTTAGTCTCTCATCTAGAAAACATAGGTCACATGGAGAATTATGATCATGATTCATAGTATATGCACCCTTCGAGACATATCATGCATTCAAGTTTGATCAATCAACCTATGGGTATATTAGCTACCCAGGAATTAAATCGCTATAGACTCTTAACATGATTCTTCCAGAAAATGTATAGGCAGCATCTTATCAGGTTAGGGGGAAACGTAAATTCTGCTATAATAGTGAGATTCTGCTATATTTTCAGCCGTAGTTGTCCTCGATTTCATCAAATAACATACTTGCTGTTTAAAGCGCAAGTTATGATGGGAATAAAAATGAACAATAATTGGCATCCTTACATATTATGAATTTTATTTAATTTTCTGCCGATGTGTTTGATAATGCGAACACACTTTTTAAAGCGGAAGTTACATTTTTAACATAGCAACCAGTGATTGCGGTAGTATTGAACAAAGACTGACTCTTAATATCTCTCACACATGTGCACAAATTAGTGCTTGTAATAACTTTCAACTCATTTTGGAATAGGTTTGTCGAATTTATAGAAGAAAAGGTGATTTTTGCCTGCATGGTAACGGGTACGGAGGCCCGTTATGACAAATGAAAAAAAAAGCTCAGCACATGTACAATTTAATGGAACCGATTTGTGTTGTCTAAATTGTAAGCAATATATATAATATGTCACTTTTCGAAGTAATCTTAAGTTTGTGTATATTGTTTCCTTTCTTGATGATGAATCCATGAATTTAAATGATTATTCTTAGCAAGAAAAGAAGAATTACACTTGTGCATGGAATTACCTGTAGACGTGACGTAAAATAAATTCTGCACGATTTATTGATTCTCTAACTTGCATGAAATTTTATATTTAACTACGATATGCACTGGAAAAGAAACAATGAAATCCTATTTACCAGAAGTAGATTATTCTGTTGTAAATAAATGAAATTCAAGGAGAAATAGAAATATGAAGATAACGAAAAAAGGCCATTTGAGCAATAATTTTTTTGCAGAGCGAATAGGTAGGATAAGGTGCTATGGAGGAGTATGCATCCCCTGTCGAGCATGGCCTTTGCAAAATTCATTTATTAATAGTTATCATGAATTAGTGCATCGTTGTCTCGCCACAGCCGCTAAAATATTAAGCCCGCTTTTTTCACTACAAAGAAGCCATTATATACACATTGAATTGTTTTCGCGTACGGTTATTTTTTCGTTTTTTTTCCTATCATGACAAGGAACACACTTGTCGGCAGGGGATGCTCACTCCTCCATGACACCTGATCCCATCTTTGATGTTTTTTAGAGGTTCGTGTTTGCTCTGTTTAAAATTTGCATTCTTTCAATGGACTTTTGAGATCGATTACTGTTTGTTATCTTCATATTTCATACAGTATTTCAAGCAAATTGAAAAAAAAATTGAACCCATTTAATTTATTTTCTGTCTTAAAGTGCAAAAATTTGAGTGAATTACATTATATTTTTCTTACATCTATTTATTTATTTTCTGTCAGAAAATGTACAATATTAAGTGATATCAATCATTGCATTTTCATCGATTTATTTATTGAATTTTTCTGTCTTAAAGTGTATTAAATTCTACAAAACACAGGTATATCTAAGTTGGGATGTAATTAACATAATTGTTATAAACACAAATGAATGTTCAACTCATTTTGTTATTTGCAAGCGGGAATAGGTGGATTTGTGATTTAAAAAAAAAAGGGGGGATAGGTGGAAGACCCTCTTAAAACTGAAACCCCTTGTTGTTCGTAATGTGTATCGAATCAACTAATAATTTAAGACATTAATCCCACATGCAGGTAATATGGTACATAATAAGGGAAGTTGACGATAGAAAAAGTAGTTATCACATGTACCATGTAAGTTTAGTTATTAGTTTGCCATCAATCTCTTTCTCTAGTAAAATATTTAAGGAAAGAAGCAGATGTGTCATACTCCCTGGTGTCTTTTATTAATAATTTTCAACATACTTCTATTTTTGGAAACTGCAGCTATATCATAACTAAATGAACATTTAATTAATTTATGTCTCGCCATTACGTGGTTTAATCATAATAGATGTATTAAGCACCAATGTTTCTTCTGAGAAATTACGCCAAATATTCCCAAAAAAAATTGCTTATACATAATAATTTTTGAAATAGTTTTTAAAAAGATTTTTTTTAATCTAACTTTACTTGTCATAATACAAAAATTAATATTTCAAAAAATTTTGTTTAACATTCCGGAAACTAATGTCATATAATGTATATGTAAATTACCTGCAGAAATGACATCTTATATCATTGTTTACGATTTATTGCAAAAACTATACAAATCAGTTTCATCAGAATAAAGTAAACATGTAATGAGCTTTTTTTCGTTTGTCATAACGGGTCACCATGCAGGCAAAAATCATCTTTTCGTCTGTAAAATCAACAAACCAAAATGGGTTGAAAGTTATTACAAGCACTAATTTGTGCACATGTGAGAGAGATATTAAGAGTCAGTCTTTGTTCAATACTACCGCAATCACTGGTTGCTATGTTAAAAACCTAACTTCCGCTTTAAAAAGTGTGTTCGCATTATCAAACGCATCGGCAGAAAATTAAATAAAATTCATAATATGTAAGGATGCCAATTATTGTTCATTTTTATTCCCATCATAACTTGCGCTTTAAACAGCAAGTATGTTATTTGATGAAATCGAGGACAACTACGGCCGAAAATATAGCGGAATCTCACTATAATAGTGGTATACCACTATTATAGCAGAATTTACGTTTCCCCCCAACCTGCTTATTGCACACCTGCAACCTTCATTTTACTACTAAAAAATATACAGTCATGTATATAGTTAAACTTTTAAAAACAAAATTTAGACAGAGGTCCAATGGCAACCTTGCACAAGGACTATACCAAATCTGTCTGGCCTCCTATTGAACAAATAAGATTTGTTATCTATAGCTGTCCTAGCCACGACAGGGTGTAATGGCTGATGATGATTACCTTTGAGACTAAATTCAAAATTCTAAAACATTATGCACTTCTAAATGACTCATGCAGACAAACATGTGCAAAAACATTTTTCTGGCAGGAATTCTGATAATAAACATAGGTAATAAGAGATTACAAAGCTCACCTCAACGAATGTTGTCTTTAAGTAAGGCAAAGTCCCACATTAAACTAATAAACTAGTAATGTGCCTCCCTAGATGCAACATTTAAATGCAATTTTGGTTTGATAGGACTTGCAGTTACTTGGGAATGGACATATCTAAAAACTTTAAACTAGTCACTCATCCAATAAATATAAATCAAACCCAGCATTTGAAGCAAGTTTGAGAGTGTTCATCACTTGATGCATCATCCATGCAAGTTTGGTTCAGATAGGCCTTACAGCTTCTTGGTAGTGGACCTGCTCCAAAAACTTTGACTTGTTCACTCATCTGGAAAAGGTAGGTCAAATTCAGCATCTGAAGCAACTCTGGTAGTCTGCAGCCCTCCATGCAAGTATGGTTCAGGTAGGCCTATAGTTTCTTGGTCATGGACCTGCTCCTTGCATCAAAAGCAACTATGGTAGTGTGCATTAATAAGTGTATCTTTAGTGCAAGGTTGGTTAGCATGAGGCTTATAGTCACTTTAGAAATTATAATTAACTGCTCAAAAAAACTTTAACCTGGTCACTCATCTGGAAAATATAGGTCAAAATTAGCATCTGAAGCAGGTCCAGTAGTGTGCATCCTTAGCTGTATCATTCATGCAAGTTAGGTCGACATCAGGCTCATAGTTACTTTAGAATGAACCTGCTCCAAAAACTTTAACCTGGTCACTCATCCAAAAAATGTAATTCAGATCCATCATCTGAAGCAAGCCTGGTAGTGCATCCTTAGATGTATCATCCATACAAGTTTGATCAACATAGGGCTTATAGTTTACTTCAGAATGAACCTGCTCCAAAAACTTTAACCTGCTCCAAATACATTAACCTGGTCATTCTTCAGCTGAAATTGCAGCATCTGCATGCTACAATGATACTTACTAGAAGGATCTTCCATGCATCTCTGATAAATATAGGGCAAAGAAATCTGCTCCAAAAACTTTAACCTGGGTTGCCGACGCCAAAGGTAATATATAAAATCCCCCCACCCCCACTTTGTTGAGGTGCATATATAACACTGATGCCCACATATGACAACTTATAGCAAAGGTTAAACTTTCTCAAATGCAAATCAAATATGTTGGTACCCAAAGTAAGGACTTGTCTCGAAGAATATACCTGTGAAATATGAAAGCCCTAGCAGCAACCATTGAAAAGACATGGAAAATATTAAAGTTTTTCAAAAGTGAGTCAAACATCAAGGTCATGGTCAAAATTAATGGTGCCCAAGGAAAGGCCTTCTCTCACGAAATACGCATGTGAAATATGAAAGCCTTAGCACCAACCATTCAAAAGTAATGGCCAAGGTTAAAGTTTTCCAAAAGTAGGTCAAACTCCAAGGTCAAGGTCAAAGTTCTTGGTATCCAAAGGAAGGTCTTGTCATAAGGATTACATATGTGAAGTATGAAAGTGCCCTAGCACCAACTGTTCAAAAGTTATGGCCAAGGTTAATGTTGGGTAAAATTTTGCAAAACTGGGTCAAACTCCAAGGTCAAAAGGTCAAATATGATGGTACCCAAAGAAAAGTCTTGTCACAAGGAATACACACGTGAAATATATGAAAGCTGTAGCTCCAACCAATAAAAAGTTATGGGCAAGGTTACAGACAAACAGACAGACAAGACAGATAGACAGACAGTGCAAGAACTATATGCCTCCCGAATCTTCGATTACAGAGGAATATAGAGAGAGAAAAAATACACTTAAATCTCTAGCAAAAAATACACTTTAACTTCTTGATCAATAGCTTCTGATTTTATCAAAATGAGACACTGACCACACAGACAGAAGAAGCTGTGGTAAGAGTCACTCCATCCAGAAATGAGAAAATGTGGAGGAGAACAGAATCTGGCAACTGCTGAAATAAACTTAGTGAGTCTGCCATCTTCTGATGAGCTTTGTGTATTTCATCCCATTCCTAATCCTGAGGGCAAGCAACCCTGTAATCAAGATGTTTCCAGAGTTACAAAAGTTAAAATGACATGCAATTTACTGCATTATTCAATAAAAGGTAAATTCAATATTAATTCAACCAAATGTTAAGGATATACACAATATTAACACTCAAAACAGCTCTTAAAGGACTTATCGCATGTTTCTAAATTATTTGAGATTAAAAGTGTAAAACGTTCCTTATGACCTCAGTTTATAAATTTTGTATTTTTACTGCTGATAAATCGCAGTAATTAACCAATTATTGACCCAAATGAAAACCCCTGAATTAAAAATCTAAGTTAATTAGATAGCGATCACGTGACCCTGTGACGTCAAAGGCGACAATGGCTGATCAGCTCTTCACGTAAATCTTACTAAAATATACGCGATACAACCTGAATTTTCTGCGTTATGGACGACCAAATCACTGATTTTATAGGTATGATTTTTAATATCCAACCTTATATTTTAGAAATGTCAGCAAGAAATAATCTGAAAAATCCGTTAACATTGTAAAAATAGCAGCGACAATAACGAGGGAGACGCGGCGAAGACGAAGAAACTCGCCATAACAATACAATTTGATAATTTGTCATTTTATCACATGTATGAACTTATTTGATTCACAAATTCAAATTACATAACTTTGTTATTCTTCGTTTTTAACATAATATTAATTCAAGCAAGTATGCCTTCATATGTTTTGTAAAGGATGGCGGTCTTGAAAAATAATTTTCCGATCACGAAACATTGCCGTAATCAGACCTACAGATTCTAAATGTTTCGAATAAAAAAACAAAAATATCTCAAAATTCTTACACCTTAGAACTAGTTAATGTTTCTATAGTAATTGAAAATCACATTAGGAATTAATTTTATCAGCATTTTTTCATAATAAGCTGCATTTGTCGTTGATAACTCCGTAAATAGTGTGTAACTTCTCATCTCTCTATCACTGAATTGTTGCCTATGACGTCAGAGCAGTAATTCGCCGAAATCCGACTGAAATATGCATATTGCCGTATTTGAATTTCAACTCTCAATATCTATTAAAATACGCTTTCAACAACGTTTATTGTATTCAGAATTTTAATAAACAAGGTTGTAGATAATATTTTTCATAAAATTAAGATTTCTGAGAAATCATGCGATAAGTCCTTTAATAAGCTCTTAATACTGTAGATTCCTAAATAAATGTAAAGATTTTATTATTATGTTATTTTAAGAGAAGCATCACTAGCAAAATAAAATTACTGGCTTTCATTTACATATTGCTGAAAGACATAAAACTCTCAATCAACAGCCTAATCATGAATTTATGGGCTTGCAATTGGGCATCCATGAGTCATTAACTGCAATATCAAGTGCCATGTAAAATAAGAAATTGGGTTACTGACAGTATACCAGCTAGTAATTGTAAATGAGATTATATTGGGCACCAGCAACAATTACTCAGATATGTTTCAAATAGGCCGTAAGTGGGCCATATTTTTAAAAATATTCCATGTTTAGATTCATTTCTTGGCATAAGATGTACTTCAGAATGTAGCTGCTTAGAAAGCTTTAACTGTCCCTTCATTTAATTGTGCTAGGTCAATTGCAGTATCCTTATGCAGCATCCTGGTGGTTAGTGCACTATTTTCTCACCGCTGTGATCCAAGCACAGGGGCTTGTCACGAAATATTTACCTTCTCTTAATAGAGTTACCCCTACTATAAAAGTGTATTTTTATAGTAGGCTGGTAGGGGTAACTATATTATAAGAGAAGGTAAATATTTCGTGACAAGCCCCTGTGCTTGAGCAGAAAATGTCAACAAATACTTCTCTCTCCATTTAACATGTGCAAACCAGAGATTCTTCACATCCTTACCTATTTTGTTAATGATCACTACAGAGTTGGAGTTGTTTTTTTTACTTTTTGCGATTGATTACGAAATCACACTCAACCTCTAGGAAAATGGCTGAGTGGTTACGAATACCTTTTCTCTTTCGTTTTCTAATCTAGATAACTGAGGTATTCCGAACATTTTTTTTTACCATATAGGATCCGGATATTTACGGATTATCGAGAAATTAGTTCCGTTACCTTAATCTGTTAATATGATCATTTCCTCATAATTTCCTAAAAGGAACTTTGCTTCAAGAAAATGGTTTCATTAAATAACGGTTTAATGAATTCCTTTATCTTAATCTGATAGTTTCCTTAACATAAATCTTCAGTCATTTCGCATACCTTTATTTTGTTGCCTCTTTTACAATATTAGGCCATCTTTAAAATAATGTTTGCTTGACCTCTCCCGACTTAGGATAAAAAAAACTTGGGTCGGTAGGTAGGTGGGAATTTTTTTTCTCAGAAAAATTCAGCACATATGTTGACAGAATGGGGAAATTCGGGGGGAAAAAGGAAAAAAAAATAACTTAATTCCTGAAAGTTGAAAAAAGTTTCGATTCTGGCCATTTTTAGCCAGTCGTCGGGAGATGGCAACCAAGCAATTTTTCAAACACGGCCTTACTGATTGCTTTTTATTCTTAACTGAAATTGAATTGAGTAGGGCGCTAAGCTGCGGTGCAAAAAATATCTTTCATTCTCAGCTGTAGCATATTTAAAACAATTTTACCAGTTGAACAACTTTTCAATTTTTATTCATCATGCACCACTTAGTTATTCAGTTATTATTCGGAAAATCATAACGATTTGCGTTCGTATCATATACACTCCCTGGTTGGGGAGTACCTTGTAAACTCTTTTTATATAATCATTAATTAATAATTATCTGATAAGAAATGAGAGTGAAATTTAAAACATAATAGCAACAATTAAGACTCAGTTAATATTTTACTCATGCTGCTGCGGCCGATAAATATTGATAAATCACCATATGTTTCCTTTATCTTCAACCATTTTTGTCTCCAATTTTTCACTCTCTGTTACAACCGTAATTTCATAGCATGCTTCTATCATTAATTAATTAATTTTTTTATATTTATTTATTATTATTATTATTTTTTTTTTTTTTTTTTTTTGGTGCTAATTTTTTTTTGGGGGGGGGGGTTCATTTCATTTCTTTCGGGGAAGGGGGTGTTGCTCTTCTAGGTTTTATTTTAATTTTTGTCGTGTTAATTCTCTTTAGTTTTTGGCTTCTTATTAGTTCTGAGCTCTTTTAATAATCAATCAGTCAATCAACTAAATTTTAAAATCAATCAAATCTATGTATGTTTCCTAACCTATCCGAACTTAAAAGTTCAATGTGTTTCCATGACAGGGAAAGCGCGTCTTTTAAAATGGCGAAAAGGTGGCTTCCTGTTACTGAAATGCTTTCATTAAAAATTAATGCCTTCCATCTGTTCATCGTTTAAAATCTATACAATGGAATTATCTGTTTTTTAGATGATTCAAAACTAGTGCATCTTCAATGACCTTCAAAAGACTACCGATGCATGCGACTTCCGACATCTCGTAAGACAAGTCGTAACATGCCTGGTATGAATCCTGATGATCTCGGCTGCATGCCAAAGTACCTGACGTAAACACTTTAAATTTGGTGTCAGAATTTAATTTTAGGCAAGGCAATGAATTCCTGGGTAAGTTGACGCTTGCAATAGACAGTACAATAAATATTTGCAGGAATGAGAGATTACGTTAAAAAAAAGGCAAAATGAAGATACGAAAACATCTACCTGATAAATATTGATGTGTGTGAAAAAAATGTGACAATTTGTTTTTCTCTTAAATGAAAAAATATAATAAACAAATAAGTAGTCATTCTTATACGTTTTAATTTTCCTACCTGTCATTGCATGAAACCCATGTGGGGTATGAGGTGATACTATAATCTAGAAATATTTTTTTTTCATTGTCCTTTGTAGATTACTGTTTATCTGAAGAACAAATAAATCAGCCATGGGTACTTTATTTGAATGTTTGAAAGAGGCACGGCTTGAAAAATATTATCAAATCTTTCGCATAAATGGAATTACTCGATCTGAAGCTCTGGCAAGATTAGACACTACAGACTGTGATGCTATTGGGATAACATCTCCTGAGGATAGAAGAAGATTACTTGATCTCATTGAAATTATTAAATCAGTTAATGACACTGACCCTTTATATAATTCACCTGTAGCTAGACATAGTCCAGTTACAAACAGAAAATCTTTAAAAAGATTCCATACCCCTCCCTCAAATAATAACGATGTAATCAACCAGAGACTGATTCCAACCAACAATGTGAGAGTGGTGGATAGGAGTCGCTCAGTGCCCGCTCAAGCTCAGGCTCTTGTATTCTCTGAGAGTGAAGAGGAATCAGAATCAGAGTCATCTGACCCATCAGATTATGAGCCAGCATCAAAGCATCTGAATCCACCTTCTTCTGTTGTTAGAAAAAGAGCTGTCAATCGTCGTGTCAAGCAAAAAGGATATAATTATGGAGTGCCAACAACTGTGAATTCATCCATTAGAAGTTCAAAGTCATCCACTGGAAAACATAGTGGAAGTGATGAAAAAATTAAAGTATGTGTTCGTAAAAGACCACTGAACAAAAAAGAAATCAAATCTGGTGAAGCAAATATAGTGTCAGCTGAAAGCACAACAACTCTGACGGTCAATGAACCGAAACTAGCAGTGGATTTGACTCCACATACATTACAGGTAGTCACTAACATTTATGGATAGATCTATACTTGTATGTCATGTAAACATTAGGTAAAAAGTACAAACTAGCTGAAATAAACTTCAGGTGAATTTACCTCATATAATTTTGATATTGAATGAATTCAGTTTAGATGTAGAAACATCATTAAAATTCATTCCAAACCCAAAGGAAGGAAATTTTGAAACTCAAATCATAATTGTGATTACCTTTAAAACATACAATTGGTCTAATTTAAAAGTTTTTTTTTAATGAAGATATGGGGAAGATATAGTTTTTGGTCTGTCCATCTGTTTGTTTTTTAATATTTGTCTGCAGAAACTTTAACCTCACCCATAACTTATGAATGGTTGGGTCTAGGGCTTTCATATTTCATGTGTATATTCCTGTGACAAGACCTTTCTTTGGTAACCAAAATATTTAACTCTTTACCTTGACCTAGAGGTTTACATTACTTTTTCAAAATTTTACCAAACTTTAACCTTGGAAAATAACTTTTAAACAGTTTATGCCCAGGCTTTTATATTTCACATCTTTATTCCACGTGACCAAACCTTTCTCTGGGTACTAATTTTTTTGGCTGTTTGACCTTGACCTTGGAATTTTATCTGCTTTTGAAAAACTTTAACATTGCCATAACTTTGAATGGTTGGTGCTAGGGCTTTCTTGTAGCACAGCTGTATTCCTTGTGACAAGACTTTTCTTGGCGTACCAACATTTTGTACCTCATGAGTCATGACCTTGGAGTTTCAATTGCTTTTAAAAAACTTTAACCTTGGTCATAACTTTTGAATGGTATTTGATAGGGCTTCTTGTTTCACTTATGTATTCATTGTGATAAGACCAATATTTTTGATCTCATGACCTTGATCTTTGAGTATGACCTACCTTTGAAAAACTAGGCCATATTTTCTGAATGGTTGGTGCTAGAGCTTTCATATTTCACAGATGTATTCCTTTTAACAAGACCTTTCTTTAAGTACCAACAAGTTTGATCTTTTAACTTGGAGTTTGATCTTCATTTGAAAAACTTTAACTTTGTCTAGTGCTGCCATTCAGGGGCATCAGTGTTTCACAAATACATCTTTTCTATTTTTCATTTTCATTTTTATTTTTCAGCATGAATTTATTTTTGATGAGGTGTTTGATGAAGCCTGTGGGAATGAAGATGTATACATTCGAGCTGCCCGACCTCTTATTAACTGCATATTTGAAGGGTACCCACTTTATCATTGAGTCTTGCATTGCAAGAGTTCTAGATGTAAAACTTAAAATATATACTATAATGAATAGTTAAGTGTTTAACTTAATGAATAACTATGTTTCTTTCTAGTGGAAGTGCCACCTGTTTTGCTTATGGACAGACAGGTGCTGGTAAAACTCATACAATGATAGGTTCACGAGAAATTCCTGGGCTCTATCTCTTGGCATCACATGATATTTTCTCTATAATTGAGTCTGGAAGATATGGACAAGGCATTAAAGTATGGGTCAGCTATTTTGAAATTTATTGTGGAAACCTTTATGACCTCCTTAACAAAAGAAACAGGTAAATTTCTATTTATTTTTATCTTTATAAATTCACCTTATTGCTCTCTGAGCCAAAAGCACAAGTGAGCTTTCCTGATCACATTTTGTCCAGCATTGTCTATCCGCTTGTAAACTTTTCACATTTTCGACTTCTTCTCAAGGACGACTGGGCGAATTTCAAAAAGACTTGCAAAGTATTCTTAAGTGAAGGGGATTCAAATTTGTTCAAGTGAGGGGCCACACCCTCTTCAAAGGGGAGATAATTAAGAATTTTTGAAAATTTGACTGCATCTTTTCAAGAACCACCATGCCAGAAAAATGAAACTTACATGGAAGCATCTTCAGGCAGTGTAGATTCAAATTTGTTCGAATCCTGACCCCTGTGGTAAAATGGAGCCACAGTAGACAATCAAAGTTTTACATAGGAATATTTAGGGGAAAAAACCCAGGGCCAGTAGAGTTGAATAGCGTGCCGTAGGTTAATAAAGTTTGTTTGAATCATGACACCTGGGGGTAGGGTGGGGACACAATAGGCAATTAAGTTTTACATAGGATTATATAGGACAAATTTGTTTAAAATCTCAGGAACAGCAAAGGCATGAATTCTGTGAAAATCACTTATTTTCGCAGGAGTTTAATTTTCGTTGTTTTCAAGGTATGAAGAGACCCATGAATTCATGTCCACCACGAAAATGTAAAATATCATATACATAACTACTCAACATTTCTTCATCCATGAAATTAAATCTCCACAAACCCATATTTTTCCTCAAACCGTGAAAATTTAAACCGATGAAAATATGTGATTTTACAGTAGTCATATTTAAATAGAAGCATCCTTAGGTAGTGTGGATTAAAATTCATTCAAATCATGACTCAAGGGGGTGGGGTGGGGTCACAACGGTGAAATGAAGTTTTACATAGGAATATATAAATAAATCTGCTGATGAAGAGCAGTATGGACATGCCTACTAAGGTGAGCATTGGGCCAATGGGCCTCTTCTCAACCCATGCTTATCTACATAAATCCAGGTTGTTTGTTTTGTAAATGATTTTTCTCAAGACCATTTTTTGAATTTTATTAACTTAGACTAATAAGAAATTTTGATAAAACTTACTTGTATTTTGGGGTGCAGGCTTCATGCTAGGGAAGATGGTTCCCATAAAGTATGTATTGCTGGGCTGACGGAAACACAAGCCACTGATGTCAACTCCCTTTTACAGGTGAGAGCAGTAACAAGAGAAATCAGATTAACATTGGTTACAGATCTAAGGCATAGAGAGTCATGTGACAGCAAATGGGGCAATTTGTGCATGCATGTTTTAACACATCTTACTCAGAAAGACTTTTTATGAGTACTTTATTTTACAGTTATACTGAGATTGCAACAAAAATTTTTAATTAGATAAAAAAAAATTCATCAAATTTAATGATTATTTCACACCTTTATTTCAAAGATTCTGGAGTATGGTAATTCTGTCAGGAGTAAAGGAGCTACTGGGGTGAACCCAGACTCCTCTCGCTCTCATGCCCTACTCCAGCTGGAGATTAGGGACTCAAAGGACAAAAAACTAGGCAGGTAAAAAACATCACTCATCTTGTTAAGAAATTTAATTACACTTAAACACAAATTTGCAGTATGTGATTATGAAGCAGAGATTGATTGATCTTGAAAAATACATGTAAAAATTTCAAACCAAAGAATAGAATGAATTTTATGAATTTTATATATATATATTGTATGAATATTTCCATCCTGTGTTAGATCTCTCTATATAAGACATTAATTACAGGTTTTATCTTTTCTAACAGAATGTCGTTCATTGACCTGGCGGGTAGTGAACGAGCCTCAGATGTTACAGACACAGACAAACAGACACGCATGGAGGGAGCAGAAATTAATCAGAGTCTCTTAGCTGTAAGTAAACCCTCAAGTCTGACTTAAAATATAAGGCAGAAGTTTTGCTGTATTTCAGTTTTTGTGATTCAGTCAAAATAATCTCAAAATATTCATCTTCTTTATTTTTGGTAGTGCGATTCAAATGGAAATTTTACACAGGATAATAGATAGGAAAAAAATCATCAAAAATTATTAATTATTCTTAAGAATGCAAGGGCAACAATTGGTCATATTTTTATACATGTATTCACCTGTAGTTTGTATTCAAGTTTATTCAGATCAGTTTTTGATGGGCTAGTCTGGTGCTGCAATAAGAGTTCAAAGTTTTACCCCAAATATATGAACCTCTGAAAGATCAACAAGATTACATTTATTGAATATTGACCTCAAGATACATGTATTTTAGAGAATTAATTTTTGAGTGATATGTCAGCAAGTTAACATTGAAGAAACTAAAATTTAATAATATTGTAATTAATTAATCTTTCAATTGTTAAGTGTTTTTCCTAAATTTTGCAGCTGAAGGAGTGCATTCGGTCAATTGATCAAGAGAGTAAACACACCCCATTTCGTCAGAGCAAGCTGACACACATACTAAAGGACTCGTTTGTGGGGAATTCACGTACCTGTATGATAGCTAATATTTCCCCCACCCAGTCTTCCTGTGAACACACCCTGAACACATTAAGATATGCAGACAGGTAGGACCACAGCTTTATGTTATCATTTATCTTTAGGGTCCTCCACACACCCCCAGCTTATGTTCTCATATTACTGAGCATTACTATTAACAAGCATATCAGCCTTTAAAAACTGGCCAAGAATTCAAGTATAATTTATACTGATTTTTAAAAAAAATAATTTCATAAGTTTTAAGAAATTTTCCCCACCATGTTTTGATAAGTAGCACAACAAATATTGTTTTTACCTGACTTATATTATTTTAAAGGTCAGAAAAGAATCACAAAAACTCAATTTTATCAGTCTACATATTTTTTAAAGAAATTAATAAAAGTTATAAAAAATAAATCTAACTCATTTTCTCTAAGATATATGGAGAAAAAATTAGGGATACTCCCCATAGTAAAGAAAACATTAATGAATTAAATTACAACAGAAAATTGAATTAAAATCAAACTTATTGATTTAGAAAAATTATTTTCAAAATCTTTGGTATCAAAGTTCCTTTTTAGAGTTATCTATCCTGTTACTCAGGACTCAAAAACTTTGGTAAATCTCCGCATACGCCATCATACTCAAATTACTCGTTATTGGCATCTGAGCTGGACAGTTATAAATGAGCAAAACTAGAAATGCACACTATTTATCAATATTTATAAACACACAATGAGATAGGTATTATTGAAACGCACAAATCAGTGTGCAAAAATATCAGCTTTTCACAATTAACAGATTTTGTTGACGATATTGCAATGGATTGATTAGCCTGAAAGTATAAATAAACTAAATTGTTTTCTCATAGATATACAGTACCTGTTATTTATAAATTATTATGCTACAAAACCTCAAAGGTCTGCTGTTCTTTTATAGAAAAAAAAAAAAAAAAAAATTGACGCCTTTTTCTTTTTGGTCACACTGTGATCATGCCGTGTGTTCGTTGTTTATGATTAGGATGTTGCTCTCAGTTTACTGCCTAATTTTCCTTTGACAAAACCATCATCCTTAAAGCGTTTATAAGGCTCTCTTACAGGCGGTGCCAGGGACATCGTCAGTGCACAAACAATATAAAACCACAAGTAAATGTATTTTTTCTCGATATACGTCACAAGTCTCAGGATCTGGAGGACCCTTAAAGACTTTATATACTGCAAATCAAACAGATTAATTCCAGCAAATGGAATATACTTTTTGTTCAACACTGAAAAGAGAACTTGATATTAACTGATATTATGCAAATTTCACACATATTTTGACTTACATAAATCACATTGAAAACTGAAAGTCCTCAAATTGTTGTTTAATTAAAAAGTGTTGAACCATATATGACTTGATGAACATCTTGGGACTATTAATTAATTAGCTTAAGATACCCCAGAGTTGAGATATTGATGTTGAAATTCAATAATAAATCAGAACTTAGGCCAAAAATAAAAAAAAATGATTTGTTTGATGTACTCCGACGGACCTGTCAAAATGGGCACTACCCAATCATTTTTATCAGTACTTTGAATTTTATTTTTTGTTTGCGGAAAATAAAGATTGTCCATACCATTTTTAAAGTTATAATATAATTTCTCTGAGATGCATTTAGATTTAAAATTTGTAAAGCAATAAATATTAGATCTGTCTAGTTATCCTTTGTATAAATACATGTATAATGCAAACATCAAAAAGTCTGAGATTTTTAAGACGATGTGTAAGATGATTAAAATAAACAACAACCTACCTACCCACCTTGAAAGATGTGGGTCGGAGTACATCATGAAAAAATTTAAATGATGGCCTTACTTCTACATATCCCTGGTATTCAACGTATCAATGTTTGAAATACTGAAGCTTAAATGTATGATTTTTATAAAGCATTACCTTGATTATTCAGGGTTAAAGAGCTTCGTCGAGAGTCATCCTCAGGAATGAGGGCAAGTACAGCCAGTAACATCTTGATGAATATTCCTCTAACAGCACCCTCTGTGTTCCAGCCAGGAAACATTCTGTGTTCATCCACTCCTATTAAACCAAAGGCAAACAGACACACTGTGGCTCGAGCATCCATGCAGGACATTCATCTTGATCCCACAGAAAGCCCAATCAAAGGTCATGGTGTTAAAAGAAAGACAAAATCAGCATCGGCCTCCTCCTCTAGTCCTTCTGTCACAAAACCTCAGATTAGAAAACCAAGTGCTACTGTGGCTAGTCGCATCTCTGCTGTTAGACACTTCCCCCCTCGACCATCTCCCGACCTTTTAAGGTCAAGTCCCCCTCAGCAGCAACACCATGTAGAAAGTAGTGACTCGGATCACACTGACTCAGACTCTTGTAATGTTAGTGAGAAACATAATGTGAAAACAAACAGAAACGTTCCTGTAGTAAAATCTACAGATACAGATAATGATTTTCCTACTACAGATTTTAATAATGATGATGAACTAAATGATTTAAACAGAACTGGAGGCAAAAATGCTCATTCCTCTGACAATGTTTTAAATTCACAGAGTGTGTCAGTTATAAAAACCCCTGGAGTTCATTTTTCATCCTCTGGTCATCCACTGCCAGTGATAGGAGATCAGGACTACAGGTCCCCTGATTCCACACAGGCCCCACAAGAAAGGGGGAACTCCCCCCACAGGGGTAACTCACCCCAGGGTCCATCACGTCCCAGTCCCCCTGTCCTCAGAAAGAAAATCTACACTGAGCCGTCAGCTCAGTCCACTAGCACAGCTGCAGATTCAGGGCCAAGGAAGTTTGAAAACCAAGTGAGAAACTTGCCATTGAGTAATAACTTTTTGACCAACCCAAATAATAATGTTCCCAGGGTGTCTGAAGTGTCTCAGAATAATTCAGGAAGGACTGTGAACAGTGCTAAACCCGTGCTTCAACATGCTCCCTTGTCTCTTGGAAGTGTAGCTGACGATGACTTGTTTGATGGACCTAATCCCTCCTCACCCTCACAAAAAACTCCCAGAACACCAAGCACAGGGGAAATGAACTCTTTAGTACTTGGGCTCAGTAGGGGGAATAACATACAGCTGAAAATTCCCCAGGACCCCTCTGTGGACCCCATCCTACCTGCTGTTATGACTGCTAAGAGTAGTGACCTGACAACTTTCTCTCAGAGATCCCCTGGTAGATTCAGTCGGTACAACCCAGAACCTCCTCCACCTCCATTTTCCCTGGCCATGGTGAACCCCACAGAGTCTCGACCAAGGATATTACGCACTCCTCCACCTAGTCAACCAACAGAACAAAACAGGGCAGAGCAGCGTACTCCTCCCAGACATTCTCCAAGTCAGGAGGTCAAGAACCAAAGTCCCTATCAGAAACATGATGATAGGAGAATCCCCACACCTAAAGACCACAGGGTGGAAGATATTTCATCAGATTATGGCAGATTCAACCAAGGATCTGGTGATCAGTTTAGGTCAAATAAAGATGCATACCATGGGGGTATAGATTCATCACAAAATGGTCAGTATGTGAGATCTAGAAATGAACATAATGTAGAAGACAGGGAATCAACAAGGCAGAACCATTTTGGAGGATTAAACTATGAATGTGTTGACAATGAAAACATAGACAGACAGTCACATGATTCAGAGGAGAAGGTTTCATTGGCTGAGGTGGATCCTCTGTCTACCAATGACTGGTACAATACACCAGCTAACCATGCTGTACATATCTACTCTTCTGTCCAAAAGTCAACTTCTAATTTGGATTACGATGTTCACTCTGCTGCAGGTTACAGCCGATCTAACCAAGAAATGCCAGAGAAACCTCTAGAGGCTGACAAAGATATTCACGACAAATTTGATTCAGATCTGACAGAGTTTCTACCAATCCAGAAGAGGCCTAGCTACTATGATGACAGGCCTGCAACTTCAAGGAAAGATGTGGCTTCTAGATTAAGGTCTGTCTTCTTTAAGGACTCCATGGAGAAGCCACAGAAACATACTTTGTCAGATAATAGTCCTATAAACAAAACAAATGACTCATCAAATCAAAGACGACACACAACTACACAAAACAAACCTGTAATTGCAAAAGTGCAGGAGAGAGACCAGCTGTCTGAGTATGGAAGTGAACACAGGAACCACATGTTAAGTAACAGGAGTGGGGGAGACACCTCTGGAAGGGGCCAGTCCAATAAATTCAGCAGTCCAGCAATAATAACAGAGAAATTGGAGGGTGGAGACAGGGCAGGATCAGCATTTCTTCCCATACACCCACAGCCCCTGACCACCAACCCCATAACAAAGCATGTAGTGGAGTCATCAAACCCTGATCTAGCACATCCTGTCCCTAGGGACTCAGAAAATGAAGCCAGGGAGGCAGAGAGCAAGGATCAGCAAACAGACAGCAGGTCAATATAATTATAATAATATCTAAGTGACTTAAGGTGTGTAAGATAAAATTAATACAAACAGCAGCAAATAATTGCATTTTTTTAAGTATTAACTCATCAAAATAAAAGAAAAAAATGTAGAATTCTGATTTATATAGAAACAAAATATTGTGCATTTTCAGACAAGTTATCATTTCTGCACATGAAGAACAGCTAGCCACAGTTACCTCTCTTTGTAAGCAGGAAATGAAGTTGTTGTTAGGGGCCAAGTCTGGGCACAAGGTGAGTACAACTTTATGGACACTGAAACTCACAATAATAAAAGTCACAACATAACAATATGTCATAAAGTTTGTATATAACATAGGTCATGAAGTGGGTGAAACATAATGATTAATTGATTAAGGTCAAATAGTAAGTACATAAAATGACTGATAAAAGTGACAAAGTGAGGACAACAAAGTATGTACATATAGCAACATATAAAGTATGCAAAGTGAGTACAACATCTGATATCAAAGTAACTAAGTGTGTGCACCATATAAATGACATTAAATAGGAAAGAAAGTCACAGGCCAAGGTCACTGAGTTACCATTTTAATAGGTAATTCTAAAGAATAAGGATGAACATGTAAAGATAGCAAACAATAATTAAACTCAAATTCAAAAATGAAAGCAGGATAGTCCCTTGTAAACACGAGGTAGAGCCAGGTGCCATGGAGGAGTAAGCATCCCCTGTTGACCAGTCACATCCACCTTGAGCCTTTTGTCTTGATCTGGTAAACTGTATACTAGTAATCCATATATGAATCCATATAAAAACAATGGCCTAAGATATGAAAAAAATCAGTCAACATTTGACAGGGAGTATTTGCAAACAGTGTCATTGGAATGATCATAAAATTTGTGAAATGTTAACTTCAATGTACATTGTTGATACCCTGTAACTTCAACTTATTTGTCAGTAGCCTGCCTCAGTTAAGAAACTAATCATATGCAAAACATACTCTTGAGTATGGCATCAATTGGGAGAGATAAACACGATATACATACATTCTTCTTGGAATGTCTATTAGCAAGTAAAGCTACATTTAAATGTCATCAAAGTCAGTTATTTTTAGCTCACCTGAGCTAAACTTTTCAATATTGAGCAGATTTGTGCTTTTTCCTAGCCAATGTGTTCAGGTGATCAATGTGGCCTATGGGTCTCTTGTTTAAAGGATATATTGGCCAAACTACTTTTTTTAAAAAAGTAGGTTAAAGGTCAAGTTTAAAATCAACAAATCAATAATCCTTGTACTGTTGTTGTTGTTGTTGTTTTGTTTTTGTTTTTGTTTTTTTTTGTTTTTTTTTTTAAATCTTGGAAAAAAGTAGTGCATATGCTTAATATCAAAGTCCTGCATGTCTCCCTATTGAAAAATGCAGTTTCATTTGAAGTCTGAATAATTTTGTAAGTCAGAGGTCAAGATCAAGTCAGAATCCTGCATTTACATATACATGTATGCCCTTGACCCATGCTGTAATAAAAGTTGTAAGTTACTCAGGAATCTAGAAATGAAGAACAGGAAGCTAATTGCTCATTAGAAATTAAACATAAATAGCTGTAACCACTTGACTGATTTATGGGTGTAATACAATGTTATATTCAGGGTATAATTATATAATCAGAATTTAGGTTTTTGCCATTTATTTCCTGTTAATAAACGGATATAAGTAAAGTTTTAGTATTTATGATCATATCTATCATTTTTTTGTATAAGATGTAATTTTAGGGTGGCATTGCATGATGTAGACATAAAACTGACATTTCCTTCACTTAAATCTCTCTTAGTCTTTTGTATAATTCAGAAAGGAAGAGATGATAAATGTTGTATTCGACATATTGTATGTATCTCTCTAACCATTAATTTCATAATTCTGATGATAAATGTGAGTTTTTTATGATGAAAGTTATGACAGTTTTCACATAAAAATGCATTTTTATTACATATGTGGGTACAAACTTGAAAGAGCTGTGCCTTGTGGCTGAATTGCTGAGTGTATATTTGTCTATCTATTTGTCAAACTGTTAATCTAGATTTTCTAAGTGCAGCTTTCCTCAGCCCTTTGACTCGTCTCACTCTGAAGCCAAGATACACAACAAAAAGATACACTCAGAAAGAATTGTGATTTATGAAGGAAAACAAAACTGTGCCCTGAATATTTATTTCAGTTCAAGGGCACGAAATCTAGAAAGAGATTTATTTCCACAGTTATTTATCACAATTGTTGTCAGTTTTTGAGGGTTTGTAATTCATGTGATTGTTATTTTGAGGGTGTTTTATTTGTAGAGTGATTGTTACTTTCGGGTGTATTATTTGTAGAGTGATGAAGATTACATAAGAAGGATCAGCCATATCCTGACCCAGAAAATTCAGGCCATCCAACTCCTGCAAGACAAGTTAGAAAACTACCAACTGTCTCCCATCACTCACGGGTAACAAGCCATCCCACAGAAGTTCTGCTCCACAAACTCTATGTCACATCTTGTTTGTGTGATGTAGTCTGAGATCATCCAATAATTCTGGTGGTTCATGTTTTTACATTAATAATCCTTTGGTTAAAATGGCTTTAATGACAATAACATTTTCATTGAGTTTTTGGAAACAGTATTCCATTTTCAATATATTTATTGCCCATAGTCCGTCCATATGAAATTCTTGGCATCTTGCCAAGAAGTTATTGTCAAAATTGTTTTATGCTGGAATCAGATAATTTTCAGTCTTTGACATTTTGTTTTGTCATTACAATTGTTAAGTTTCTGTATTTTGTTTTTGAATTGGGCGAATTCCTGACTACTGCTGTGATGTTAGGCTACAAATCAGCTCCTAATGACACATGATTATTAATATTTTATGGTTAGGTTTGGATTTTCATGTTATCTGCTAGCTATCTAATTGACTTCCTTCTTTCAAGTAAAGTACAATAAATGATTTGAGTTTGAGGTCTATTATTTGCCAATGCTCTGAATAAAATTGCTATATGGTAGCATATCAACATTCTGGCCAAAAACTGCTTCTATCCTTGTGTCTCAAAGATGTAATGCTAGACTAGTGCATCAAGTCTTAAGGGATTGATCTGTTACTATTTTGCTTTTTAGTTTGAATTACTTTCATATTTAAATATTTTCCCCACATAGTAATTATAAACATTGTATAAACACATACGGAGCCTGATCTTTGATGAAAATTGAAGAAGGAAAAAATGATATTATAAAAAATCGCCATTATTCTATCATGTCTTTAAGCATAGATTGAAATTCAAGTCATTGACAAGGTCCAATTTATTTCATCTAGCATGCATAATGCTGTTTGATAAAACAAAAGATGTGTCATCAGCTCTGTTCTGTCATCAGCATATTTTAGGCTAATACATGTACCATTCAAACAGAATTGACTAAAATTTGTATGAAACCAAGAGAGAGAGAGAGAGAGAGAGAAAATAAATAGAGAACTGATTTTAAGCCAGAGGTCCTTGATATGCTTAGAATTATTTTTATTATATGAGCTAGCACTTGGTGTCTAGGATTTCTTAAAATGGAAACAGAAAACCTGCTAAAGAATAGCTAAGGAATAGCTATAAGTCAATTATATTTGAATTGCAGTCCTCTTGGTTGTGATTATTTTGTTTCTTAGCATGGTGTTTATTATACCAGGGGTGCAGTCAAAATCATAGCGACTGTGTAGTAGAATGGTAATCTGAAAATGCTACAGTACACTAGCCACTACATAGGAATGCATAATTCATACAGTACTTTCAAGGGACCTTTCTAGCCTAGCAGCTAAGCTAGCCACTGTGATCATGAATATGCAGCTCAGTTATAATGTACATGAGAGATTGTTGCCGAGTTGCTGCATCAGAGGTCATGTGTGAAGTCACAATGTCACGGGTAATATTTGGAATGTCAAGAACAATTCATCATGGACTTCAAAGCCAAAGAATTATTCAAATATTAAACAATATTTATTATTTTTTTGGTTTTATTATTTAAGAAGTTTAATTGACAAAAATTACTTTCTGTAATTTTTTAATTAATATATGAAGAAAGAAAAAAAATGCGCTACGTTTAAAACATTGACGTGTAAAGTGGGAACATGTATCATACCTGAACTTGTACGCAAATACCCAGTGTGCACATGTATTTAACAAAAGGGTGTAGGTTTCGCCATTTTTAGATGTTACCGATAGGCATTTACGAAACTGCATACATTCCAAGCCAGAAAGTTTGTCTGTGATATAATTACAATGTCCTATTTTTAGCAGTGTACAGAAACATGGTATATCTTGTATAAGTCTGGTGTATTTTTAGATATCTGTTGATGTTTTGTTTTTGTCCTGTTTTTTGAGATTTATTTAAATAAAAGTAATATATTTATAATGTTGTTCAAAATTTGTATGTTTTTTAAACCATTTGAAGCAATAAATAGGACATTCCAATAATTGAATTTATATTAAAATCCACAGTGTTCAGAGAGCAGCTTTCTGAAGATCAAGAAAGGATATCAAAAAGTTCGCGAACTATCTCTATACTTACAAAACCACAATTCAGATCAGAGTAAGATTTGGCACACATGTAGTCATACACGTGTTCTATAAATAGCAGATGTTATGTTTTGCTCCAGGTTTGTGACGTCACAACGTGAAAATGACGTCAATATGTAGGTGACTTGTGACAAAAAATGGTTGACTCTGTCGTACTCGAGCAACGAACGGCTGTAAAGTTTAACGTGTATCTAGGAAATTCCTTTGCAATAGTATATAATAATTTGTACAAGGTTTATGAAGACAAAAGACTTGCCAGAAGTTCAATTATTAATTGGATTGATTGTTTAAGTGAAGGAAGGGAGATGATTAAAAATGATGTTTGTTCTGTTATCCAGTGAAAGCAAGCTGGGGAAGAGATGTGTCCTTAGCTGAGCAATTTGTTATGAAAGATCGCCAAGTTACAATTAGAAAAATAGTTGAATATCTTAACAATAATATAATTATTAAATCCCTAAAATATCGTTTACTTTAGACTTTAAACATATCAGATATGATAAAAAGAAGGCACCCATACTTTATCCACGTTGGATAAACGACGCTTCCAAGACAGCGGATTCGGATTCTGACGGTCCCTATGCTAGTTCTTGGAAAGGATATCCTTATCCACCCATCCTATTACCGAGATTTGGAAATTTCTGATAAATGGACTGTTCTTGTTATAAAAATAACTCGCATGGTAAGAAATATAAGACTCGGAAAAATCTTTTAGCTTCTGTGAACAAAACGCCACGGGGGCATGTCACGTGACTGCCTTTATCACGTGATTCACGCATTGGCAGAACGGTGGCAAATATGCATTGAAATCGGAGAGGACTACTTTAAAAAATAATGAACACTGAAACCTAATTTTATTTCTTTTATGGAAGTAATTCAATTAGTCCGCGAACTTTTTGATCACCCCTCGTATATCTAATTATCATTTCAAGATATGAACAACAGTACTAGTGGCCATTTTCTACTCTAATATTAAGTTTGGTTGCCGAATTCTATTATTATTATTTATAAACTTTTACAAATCATTAAGTTGAATAAAATCTGGTAACATAACTCGGAGACCGGTATCATTTGTAGAAATAATGTAAATTCCAGGCCCCTGGAATCATGGAAAGTATTCTACATATATTTGAACTCTTTTAAACATTTCAAATTCTAAAATAATTAAAAATAAATTGGAAAAAAAAAACAATTTTTTCCAAAGAACTTATTTTTCCTTTTCTTCCATACAGGAATTTAAATAGTCATTGGCATTCACGCAAATTACATGTATATTGTTTAAAGTGAGGATTTGGGGGGAAAATCAAGTGCAAGCATGTCGAGTACACTATCGCATCCTCTCATCTTCAATTACCATACGTCATTACCACCGGTTAGAACGGTACATTCGGGGTGGCGGCAATGCGTGACTCGGGGTGGCGGCACCGAGGCGAGGAAAACACCAACACGGTGAATAAACCTGAATTTTTTTCATATGTTTAGACGTGTTAGATCAGAAAATTGTATTCTACGGAAGAGAGCAAATATCAACCTACCTCTGACCGTTTAAAGCAGCCTATAAGAGTGCTCCGTTTTCTCAAACACTCCTCCTCACTTTTCGGGGTATCAACGTTTTCGACTTTTGACACAATATTCTGTTTCAAAATTGACCTCAGAAGGGTTTTTTCCTTATATCTTAAACAGTAATAAAGTAATACGATAGAATTTAACTTCAATCCTACTTTATAAGTCAATATATTTTACTAATTAAGCCAATTTAGGCTTCAAACTCCATGCGACGCTCGGGGTGGCGGTTTCTGTGTCTTGCGGGGTGGCAGCATGTCTGAGAAATAGAGATTACTTTATTTATCGTTTAAGATATAAGGAAAAAACCCTTCTGAGGTCAATTTTGAAACAGAATATTGTGTCAAAAGTCGAAAACGTTGATACCCCGAAAAGTGAGGAAGAGTGTTTGAGAAAACGGAGCACTCTTATAGGCTGCTTTAAACGGTCAGAGGTAGGTTGATATTTGCTCTCTTCCGTAGAATACAATTTTCTGATCTAACACGTCTAAACATATGAAAAAAATTCAGGTTTATTCACCGTGTTGGTGTTTTCCTCGCCTCGGTGCCGCCACCCCGAGTCACGCATTGCCGCCACCCCGAATGTACCGTTCTAACCGGTGATTACGTAAAGGCTATGTTCTTTCAAATGAATTCATGAACGACTCTCGGCCGTCGTAATTTTATCAGTAACTCTTGATGATCTGTGATGTAGAAATTAGAGGTATTTTCTTTCCAATCCCATTGTTTATCTTACTCTAAATTAAAATGATTCCAATCAAAATTCAGTACAAATCTGTAGCCAAAAAAAAAAAAAAAAAAAAAAAAAAAGAAAGAAAATGGAGCTCCGAGCATTCACTTTGTACAGGAGAGTAGTAACCGTATTAAACTGGCATATATACAGTTAGCAATGCTCTCGAAGCATCAGACTGAATGGAACAACAAATATTTGTGATTTTTATCACATACGTTACGTGCATCACGGAGTAGAGTTCATCACAACTCCTTAAATTCTGAAAATAAATTGATGGCATATTTTGGCACCTTAATAGTCCTATTTTTATTTTTGTTTTTTTATGCTCCCGTAATCGAAGATTCGGGGGTATATAGTTTTTGCCCTGTCCGTCCGTCTGTCTGTCTAGCTGTCTGTCTGCAAAAACTTTAACCTTGCCCATAACTTTTGATTGGTTGGAGCTATGGCTTTTTTATTTCACATGTGTATTCCTTGTGACAAGACCTTTCTTTGGGTACCAACATGTTTGACCTCTTGGCCTTGACCTTGGAGTTTAACTCTCTTTTGAAAACATTCTACCCAACTTTAACCTTGGCCATAACTTTTGAACAGTTGGTGCTAGGGCTCTCATATTTCACATGCATATTCATTGTGACAAGACCTTTCCATGGGTGTAAATATTTTTGACTTTTCAACCTAGACCTTGGAGTTTGACCCACTTAAAAAAAATCTTTAACATTGGCCATAACTTTTGAACAGTTAATACTAGGACTTTTATATTTCACAGGTATATTTCTTGTGACAAGACCATCCTTGGGATACCAATAATTTTGACCTTGGAGTTTGACCTTCTTTTGTTAAACTTTAACCTTCGCCATAACTTTTGAAGAGTTGGTGTTAGGGCTTCATATTTTGCACGTGTATTTCGCATGACAAGGTCTTTACCTGCATACCATCAATTTGGACCCCTTGACATTGACCTTGGAGTTTGACCCACTTTTCGAAAATATTAATCTTAAATTGACCATACCTTTTGAATGGCTGGTGCTTCGGCTTTTATCTATATTTACTAGGCATATTCATTGACACAGACCCTTTCTTTTGGTAACAACATTTTGATCTCTTGACCTTGGAGTTTGACTTGCATTTGAGAAACTTTAACCTTTGCTATAAAATACCGTATGTGGGCATCAGTGTTTCACAAACACATCTTTTTTTTAAAAAAAATTTTAAGATGTATCCAACTCTACACATAATATAACTGAAATGATCTTATCACATTGAGAAAATATGTAACAAATTGACTGCAATGCCAGTTTTCATTTCATAAGGCTGGCTAAAATTAATTCAATGTTTAACGTCACCTAAAAACTCCAAAACCTACGAGAAAGGGAGAAAAAAATAAATAAACAAAAAAATTTCAAATAAATGAGTATTTACTCATTTACATGAATCAAAATGATGTAAATATTTTTGCATCGTGTGGGCTTATTGTTTAATGATCAATTTTAGTGAATCTGTCAGCAACTCAACATAAATGATAGACTCATTTCAAATATACCTCATACAGCGCCCAAATTCTGTCTCTTCGTAAGAAATGCAGTTTTTAGTTGTAGTTGATAAGAGTAAAAGCAAAACGGAAACAAATACCAATCCGAAAACTACGCGCGGGTGACGTTAAACATATAATTTACTTTGGACAGCCTAAATTATATTTTATTGATATGATAATTTGTGCATATTACATAACGAAAGCATATTCAGTGAAATGAATTAACATCATTTGCCTGGCATCATTTCAGGTATTTGCGTCAAGTTGATACACATTAATGATTCAATGAGTATATATATAAGTTCCTGTTATACATGTATGTCATACCTGTGCATAAATTATCCTGTAGCAGTTAAAGAAGAAAGCCAGTAGATGACTTGTAAATGTTGCATTATTAATACTTTTTTGTTATTCAAAAAATTTATTTTTCTTTTTTTAAAACAAAGCATTCCTATTCGATAAAATATAATTCCTATTCGATAAATTGTTATATTATTCCTATTGGAAGAAATATCCAAAATATATCATTCTTATTCGAAAACACGTGTTTCTTATTCGATAATTTTGTCATTCTTATTCGATAATCATGTGCAATTATGTTTATATGTAATTAACTTGTTATTCCTACTTGAAAACATATCATTCATATTCGAAAACATACGATTCCTATTCAATATTTTTGTTATTCGATTTTAATTATATCATTCCAATGCGATGTTTTCGTATTCAATAATTGTATAAGAATAACAAGATTATCGAATAGGAATTGTATGTTTTCGAATAGGAATAACTTGTTTTTCAATAGGAATAACATGTTTATCGAATATAAATCATTTTATTATCGAATAAGAATGACAAAATTATTGAATAGGAATCGCATGTTTTCGAATAGGAATAACAAATCAAATATGAATCACATGTTTTTGAATATGAATAACAAATTATCGAATAGAAATGCATCCTCA